CCGAAAGAAAAAAGGGGCGCCTGCACTGTCCCCTTACAAACGTCTACCTCACCTGCCCAAAGGACCTGGAAAATCCAAAGTAACACGTCAACCTTGTGGAACCCCTAAACATGAACCAGCCATGGAAAACCCAAAAGGTCACAAGGTCGATTCGCTTTAAACCGAGCTACCCTAGCCCTAGAGAGGCCTGCCGCAGATCGCAGCTCTCGAGGCTCTGGACAAAGGCGTCAATGTCCTGAAGCGGTTGCCAGCGAACCCGAATTTTAGTGGACTCATGGGACAAACAAGCGGCACATCACCCTCCAAAAAAAAAGTGGAAGCATTCAAGCACTTTCCCTGGTAAACACGGACTTGCTTTGAAATAGTGGATCCCCAAAATTGTGAATTGTCCTTTAGCTTTCCTTTACGATCCAACAAGGGCAAGGCATCTAGAACCTCTAAGTCCACATCCAACCTTGGCTTTGATCCGATGTCGTGGGAATCGGATGATGGGGAAGCCGTCCATTTGCTGAGGAACCCGAAGATGATCATGCTGCAAGTCAATTGAATCATCTTAAGATGATTTTGTTTGACAGTGGTTACATTCCGCGTTGACATCGCACCGTCTTTTACGAGCGAACCACCCATTTTTGAAGCCAGCGGGTCCCGCTGGATGAGCATGATGTCGCGCTCCAGCTGACCCACCGTGTCCTCAAAAGCGGCGCGGGCAGCATACCAAAGAATACGTGCTGCACTGGGACTACCCGGCCAAGGGTAGGGTCAAGGGCCCTCTACGTCTCTATCCAGGACTACATAAACTTTGGAATGTGCCCGGAAAACCATGAGGGTGCCCCCCACGCATATTCCATCAGGCCACTTTGAATCGGAACGTGAACCTTTTGAGGCTTTCAAGAGACTGCAACGGGCTCCGTTTCTCACCGAGGGGGCAGCTCTTCGTTTCGTCGTGGGAATTGCGGAAGGCCTTCCCCTCGAAACAATAAATTGATGGTTCTGTGGTACAAGTACCGGCTTCACTGCAAAACTTCCCCGCCAAAACAGGCTCGCCACGCGTCCCTTCTCAACATCACCTGAATGAAAGGGGGAACGCACTTCAATTTCACACAACCAAAGGCGATCTTTGGAACAACACCGAAGGCCGGGTTGCTCAGACGTACCGTTTAAACGTCAGAAGAGAAACTCAGATGAACGCTATCATTTGCAACCAAGGGATGTTGTATCCAACGCAGAGCAAAACATGGGTGTGGCTCAAAATTACGCAACTGGGGTTAAGCGGGTGTTATTCTACCTGTCCATCCAGGGTTCCATTTTGGACCCCCATTTTTGAGCGAGCTGCACCCACATAAAACATGGCTCGAGTCCTTGAGGACCCAAGTCCAACGGAAGCGGAACAAAAGCAGCGAGAGCAGACTTGCAATGCGAGAGCGTCTGTGAACATGAATGGGGGGCAGCCTTAAATGCAGCCTGAAAACACCCAAATGTCTTGGCCGGAGAAGGGGGGGGGGAGTAAGTGCCCAAAAATGAATCGGCAACATCTGCTTCATTCTGGACCCCCAGCCTCAATTCAATTCTTTAAGGGGCCCCCAGCAAGAGCCCGTCCTCCAAAATCAACACAATGTCACAACGATAAGCCCAAGTGATACCCCCCCAGCAGCGAAGGACTCTGGAACTCTCCGGAAGCCTCCCCGACAGCTAGCTTTTTTGGGCCTATCGACCCCAAGACAAAAACCGCAAACAACATTTGAAAGATCAACCAACATTACATACATTAAAAGTAATAAATAGTAATATAATAATAACAAACAAAACTAATAATAACATAAACAAATGAAACATATCAATCAACACAACACGGCCCTGTTAAAAGCCCAAACAACTATCAGAACGGCCGACTCCTCGGCACCAAGCAGGCACCGCTGGCTCTAACTCCCCGCCTGCAGTGTCTCCAGCTCCTCCCCGGTCGGACCCTCGTCCACCTGCGTCAAGCTTTGGTCATGTGGCTGGCTGCGAAATCCATGTCGCGTCTAAGAAACCATCGTTGAAACCATAACGTTTGCTATGGTATTTGCAGAGGAGTCATATCATTCCATGGTTTCTGAACGGTGGTGCAGTATGTCGATGTCATATGTGGTTGTATGTGTTTGACATACCGGGTTGCCATATTTGGCTATTTGGCCTTATTTGGCTATTTGGCCTTTGACTGAGCCAACACTGTACATATACAAGGAGAGGCTCTTTTCCCATGTCAGAGTCGGTTGCCAGATTCAATCAAGCGCCGAGTGATTTAAATCTACCCCACATTCACATGGAATTTGACTGGAGATGGCGAAGAGGTTCAGGGTTGCTCCGAAATCCCGGTTGAATGTCTTCCTTGAAAACACTCCAAAGGCAACCCAACCTTTTGCGTGTGTTTTGTTTTTGTCTTTGGGAGGGCGTTTCTTTGTGTCAGGTTGGTTTGAAGGGAAAGCGCCATCAGGAAACCACAAATTGTTTGACACATGCTCATTCTTACTTTTGGACGGTGGTTTGGTCATCCTGTAGGAACATGTCAAAGCAACCACGTTTTTGTTGGCGCCTTTCGGGCGCCAGGTTGCGGCAAAAGAGGCTCCCTCTGATGGGATTTGCCACTTAAGACAAGGACATGTGGAACCACAAAATGGGTGCCATCTATTTTTCCTTGGAAATCCCCCAAAGGGGCAACCTGGAAGAAGGTCCAAAGGAGAAGCTGACTTGAAATGTCTCTTGTCATTTGGCCATGAAAATCCTGTCCTAATCCCAAACGAGATGCTGGTTTGGACACTTACCCAAATGCAAAATAAACCTTCAAAACCACTTTTTTGGGGGGGTACCCCTCCAAAAAAGACCCACCCACATGGGAAACTAAGTAGGCCCCCTAGGTCTTGTCGGAAATTCAGCGAGTTCCCATGTCCCTCCCAAATTCGGACCAAACCTCACGAGCAAAAGCCCGGGCGAGGGAATGCATCCAGCGTTTGTAACCCTACTAGGATTTAAGTGGTTCATGATCATGTTGAAGGGCAAAAGATGTGGATGTGGATGTGTATATATGTGGCATATGTATGTGTATATATATATACACAAGTACACAGAAATATAAAGAGTCATGTCACCAAACGCTGATCCGTGTTTGCGGTACGGAGGTATTTTTTGCCAATATAGTTATAGCCATCTTTTGGTAGACATGCTTGCGTCCAAATAATGTGTCAGTGTCACAAGAGACCCCGACCCGCTTTCAGTTCCTGATGACACAAATGCGTAACCCATCAAAAAAAAACATCATCAATGGCTCACCATCATTCGTTTAACCGGCGCAAAGTACACTGTCCCGCATGTCGTTTTGTGAGGGCACCCAATTCTTTTTTGCGGGTGAGGAAAACCTGAAGGACAACTGTACAATGTTGGGGGGAAAAACCCTAAAAACAGACATGCCCACATCAATCTGGCAGATGAGTGTATCTCAAAAGGGCCGCACCTGTTTGGCGGTCATCTTTGAGGCTTCCCGGATTCAAACTTTTTGGGAACCCTTTGAGCAGTACTGCCAGGAGAGCCCCAAACAACTAGAAGTTTAGAATGGGACAGCCCGACAAGAAGGGGACCACCTCTTGATGCAGTGTTTGAAGGAATGTCAACAACAAAGCGCTCCCTTTGTTGACCAAAAACCATGCATTTTTGCGGTGGTGACAACAAACAACAAACACTTTTAAACGCCCCTCCCCCCCCCCCTTTGCGAAAAATCCACATCGCGCTTCCAGGACCCAGTTGGTTAAGCCGCTGCTTGACTAAATGGGCAAAGGCCATGGTTGAGAATTCGGATCACCTTGAGCAGAGGAAATCCACCAGGCCTAGTGATCCAGGGTCACTTGATGAGAAGTGCTATTTACAAAAAAGGGCGCTGCGCCAAACTCGGGGTACTCCCGCCAGTTTCTTCATTTCTGTGTAGCGTCCCTTTGAAACCCATCCCGGGTTCATGTGATTTGGTCATCCGCATAAGCCGCCAAGCTTGGGCGACCTTCATTGATCTAGTTGTTTGCAATTCCAGCCGTGCAGACTAGCCAGCAACCTAGAAAATCAGCGTTTGTACTGCGCAGGAATCTCGTTTGGGACCCCCCTGTTGTGTTTTAGGCACCTCCAGTCAAGGGGAAAGAAAGAAAACCACAAAGGCGAATCACTAAAAGGCAAGCCAAGTCTGCCAGTGGCAACACTCACTTCCGTCATTCTTGCATCTGCTCAGAAACCTCAAGTACCCTGTGACACTTGCCCATCAAGCAGCAAGAACACGAGGCTCTGACTCCAAGCTTTTTACTACACGGCCTAGCGATCGAAACTAAGCGCCAGTGGAGTAGCCAAAGCCCCGCTCGGCAAGCGAGGGAAGAAACCGGTGCAAAAAAACGCCATGAAACCATGTTTCTGGACAGAGCTTCAGGCAAGTGTTTCTCCCCACGATGGCCAAGCAGAGCAGAGCACATCTTCTGTTCCTTTAAGTCCTACGACGAACTACAACCTACAACCTGGCCCCTGCCTAGCCGCGAGCTCTTCAAAAACTCGGACCTCCCTCAGGGTGAGTGCTCAAGGTCCAACAGCTCTCACGGTGTTCCACAAACAAGTCTTGTTACCAAGCACAACAGTATTACCAGAAAACCAACGCAACCCTGACGACCCGTAGTGGGAATTTCTGCAAACGGTCGCCAAGGCAGTGCCCACAAGGTGGTCCACGTCTTCGAAGCCAGCGGTCTGGTAAGGGCCGGTTCTTCAACGGGCAATGGAGGGGGGTCGTCGGTTTTGTTCCCTCAGAACGTATCATGGACATGCAGAGTTTGCCAAAAAGTCCATGAGCCTCTGTCAAAGTCGCCGAACGGTTCAGCGTTGTGCTCAATCGGACGTGGATGTAACACAAGGGACCACATAACTGCCCACACAAATCCAAATGCGAACGGCTGAGTTTGGTTTTGAAGTCCCCACAACCCCATTCAAATTACTTCGCTTGGCCCTATCCGCATCGGACACCACGGGAGCCCAACCACAACGAACCCCACTAAACGTTGCACCGCACACGCGGAGCACGGCCGCTTGGCCAATTTTCGTTCGGCACCTTTGGCCGATCACATCCTGGCAAAGGTTGTGCAGCGCATACGATCAAAATAGAGGGACCCCAAAATGGTGGTCGTGCTTTGACTCCCCTTCAAACCAAACCTGCAAAAGGGTGCCCTCCAAACACACACACACACACTCAAAAAAGAAAGAGCAAATATAGTGAGTGAATTGGCTGAAGTCTCCACGGACCGCTGGTATTTTAAATCGTCTTGGCAGAACTCGATTCTCGATGGCCTCCTGAGTCAACACACACATGAACATCTTTATATTATGCAGTGTAGATCTATCAATGTGCCTTGTGGTCTCTGTTGATTCGGTGGTTCGAGATGGCATATCAAACTGGGAATGCTGCTGGATTCCCTTCACAAGAGAATTATCAAGGCGCCTCAATACAAACCTGGGATCCCTATGAGAGGAACCCTTCAGTGCGCGCCCATTTGATGTGTTTATCTTCCCTCCCTTTTTGCATGCCACAAGCAAGCGGCGGAAGAGATTCCCCAAATCCCAGGCACCCGGACTTTGTTGATTTTCTAAATTTTCCAGATGTCCGCTTAACTCCTTAGAACCAGACCGGCCTACCGGCCGAACCGGGCCCCCGAACCGATCGAAGGAATCGCCTGGTGTGGAAACAAGTGTTTAACTTGCGTTTACCAGTTGAAAGCCTAAGTTGCTTGGAGCTTGTAGGTCCGGAGCTACGTCAAGATAACTTGGCCAACTCAGAGGGCCAAAAAAGGTTCCACAACTTGAAGGACTCGTTGCAGCGAAGTCAAGTTTGCAGTTTTCGCAGCTGGCGCTTGCCATGGACTGTACACCGCACCTTGCACAAATGCTGTGCCTGCCACGAAGTTTGCGCTTTTCCTTGCGAAAGTTCTGCGCCCGCCATGAAATCTGACCTTGCGAACGCGCTGTTGCCTAACAATTCTGCACGGCACCTTGCGAAAGCGCTGCGCCTGTCACAATAATATCTGCACTTGACCTTCCGAAAGTGACGTGCTTGCCACAAGAGTCGCACTCGACCTTGCCAAACCGCTGTGCCTGCCACAAAAACAGCATGCGCTAGTTTGCATGTCCGTGCCAATGGGAGTCTGCACGAAGGCTGCGCTTTGCACGCAATCTATGCCTCAAGCTGCCAAACGGGCAGCGCCAAGCACTTACAATCGGCTGGCTAACACAGCGTATATGAGCTCCTTCCAGACCTTTAGCTTCAAAACAACCTAGGCCCTCAACCTGTAAACAAGGGCCATCGCCCAGTCCGGGTCTACCCTTTCTCGGGCCCCCCGGCGCTCGCCACGACTTCTCCTCGCGGAAAACCGAAGGCAAGCACGACTTCTCCTCGCGAAAAACCGAAGGCAGGCGGATTGTCTTGCGGGCGGCTTGTTGTTCCTGCTTGTTCCCAAATGCCGCGGTTTTGGGCATGACTCTTTTGGCCATTGGCCCATGAATCCAGCGCGATGGCTTCCTTCTTGCCAAACTCCCGTCACAACCAAACAAACAGGAATGGTTCTTGAAAACAGAAATGACGCTCGAGAAGGATGGGATCAACACCGAGAGTTAGTTGCGCTTCTGGCCGCTAGCTCCAGATGTGCCGCTCGAAAAGCTGACGCATAAACATCCGCATGCCCCGACCGACATGTCTATGGATCACAAGAAACATATTTATCCATGATTCACCATTCCAAAACATAACTCAGTACCTACATATCCCAACTGTTGACCCAGGCCATACTGTGGATCCACAAGATATTGCACCAGTTGGCGCGAGTTTTATTCGAGTCCCAAATGGGTTTTGTCCGTCCACAGTGCAAGCTGGCTTCATGTGATTTCGGCATAACAAGGGGAGAATACGTGGATGTGGGCGGTTTCCATTTGGTTTCAAGCTCAAAACCAACCAGCACGGGATCCCTTTTAGAAGCAACCCATACAGGGGTGCCCTTCAAACTGGCGGTTTCCCTTTAAGCAAAAACCCAAGTCGGCGGGTTTCTCAGTGGATTCCACCCAACGACAGCAGGGGTTAAGGACTAGTCGCTTTGTGTTTTTCTTTGTAGATGGGTTGATTGGCTGGTCGGATTCTTTGTTTGGATTGTTTTTGCTTTGATTTTTGTGTCACCTGTGGTTCTTGTCGAGGGTAAATGTGAAACCCCCTCCTTAACCACCAAACCACCACTCCAAACCAATTAGAGGTAAGCCGAAAACTGGGGGTTTCCCTTTAAGCAAAAAACCCAAAAAGGAGCACTCTTAACAAAACGGACCCGCCCATCCGTCCTGCAGCCCATCCCGCAGCACCCCCTCCACTGCGTCGCAGGCAGTCCGGCAGGTCACCAGGCGCCGGTCCCTTCGCCGGCCTGCGGATTCCCGCGCGAAAGAACGACTGCAGTGATCACCTTTGGGGAGCTTTACTAAAAGGTATCGTGTTGGTGAGGACCCTCCACACGAACTGTAAACGACAAAGGTCCTGACCAACAGGACGCGTACTAAAAATGGAAGAAAGAAAGAATGAAAGTCAACTCGCAGGGCTCGGGTTGCAAGGAGGGAATCCAAAACCCTGATTGGTGGGGGAGTGGTTCGAAAAAGCCCCGCCCCTCGCCCAAAAAGAAAAGCTTGGGAGGTAGGCTCGTTTGTAAAAAAGGGCCCAACTGTTTGCTTCACTTTTGGTCACGGCTCCGCCCAGCTATGCACAGCGTGAATTTTGAGCGGGACTTACAGCCAGCCATGCGCTTCAAATTGTGCCTTGATCCGCTTGCTTTGGGTACTCACCCCCTTCCCCCATTCACCAAAATAGCTTGCTGGCGCTTCGGTTTTAGCCGACATGACCTACACCATTTCTGGATAACATGGAAAAACCATGCACGACACACCGAAATCGCTGGCGAAGATGTGGACTGGGCGACATTAGCAACAAAGGGTCGCCTTTTGAAACCACAAGGGGACTTTTGAGCTTCATCACCGGCCCCGTCCAATCCTCCTGTTGCTGGCTCTCGGGAAGAAAGGGTCTCACGTTCTCCCCTTTGCACCCGTCCATTCCGCCCGTCGAAAACGAACTCCACCTTCGGACAGGCGCAGCGCGTCTAGGACCGCCCGCAGCCGCGCCACGCGGTCACAGGTCCCAAAGACCTGCGCCAGCACGCTGCGGGGCTGACGCAAGGACCTGGCGAAGTGAGCGAAGCGACGGCGGGGTTGGGGGGGTGTGGGTGGGTGCGTGTGGGTGGGTGTGGCTTGGGTGTGTGTGGGTGGATGGGCCAACTAACCGACATGGATCGCGCAGCCTTCCCACAAGGAAAGAACAAATCCATGTCAATTGCATCTCTAGGGGGTGTTTTCGATGGCCGAGCTATGAATCCATACAGGAGCTGCTGAAAGAGCGCGCAAAGAAGGAAGCGGCCGAGTAAGTCAGCAAGTTGTCTTCGGTAAAGGACAGCCAAAGGAAGTTGTTTGAACAATGGCGATTTGAACTTGGTCTGAAAAGTCGGTCGGCCAACTCGGAACGGGGAGAGGCGCAGGAACCGGCACACCCATGCACCCCCTCTTCCACCCCCGCCACCCTGCGACAATATCGTCATCCTTTGGACCCCAACCCCCCCCCCCCTAAAAAAACACTGACACACACACACACACACACACACACACACACGCGCGCGCGCGCGCACACACACACACACACACACACACACACACACACACACGCACAACCCACCTTCCCCCCCCCCCTCGGAACCTCTCGAGGAGATCCCTGGCCGCGCCGAGCAAAGTTAGAAGCTCAAGCTCCGCGCGCAGGCGCGGAGCACGACCCTGCGCCAGCTGCACCTCAAAGAATGGGGGCGCTTCTCAAAATGGCCTTGGCTGCTTTTGAAGGGAGACCAACAGAAAACCAAGCCAGTTTTTTTTGGGTCCACTAGTTTCAGAAACTAGATGGATAATGAGCCTTTGGGTGTGTGTGTGTGTGTTAAATGACGGATCTGGACCCACCAAAGAAGTGGAAAAGGTGGGTTTCCTTTTGGTTTCGCTTGAAACCCGGAGAACGTAGAATCAGGTGGCGTCAAGATCCTGTGGTGCATACGGGAGGTGTATGGGGGTTACTCGCCTGAATCTCGTGTGTCGGGGGGCGGGGGGTACACAACAAAGATGGGGAGGGGGTAGACAATGAACATGGGGACAGAAATGTATGAGCCACAGACTGGAACATATGTTTGTGATGGAAACAACAAACATAGGGTATCACAACTTTCTGTACTGCCAAGGAAGGGTCTTTAATGCGACAAAGCAGTCAAAATGTGGATGGAAATCCCACCATGGTATCGCAGGAGGTGTTGTTACTAACAACAATGAAGCACAATCCATAGTTGACTTCCCCAAAACCACAACCAACAGGAGGTGGATAATTCTTCCATGTCAGACCCGAAATGGTTCTTTTAGTTCTCCGCGCACATCTATGTTCCCCCAGGTTTGAGATAGAGCGCGCTCCGCTTGGGTGGGCTCGTTGGGTGGGCTCCAAAAAAACGAGCTCACGCCCCTGCCAATTCAGTGTCTGTGACAACCAAAGGCTCAAACGCCAAACCACCAATCCAAACCACCAACAAATGGTGAGCTGAATTCCAATGAGAGACTTAAATGCACCATCATGAGGGAAAAGAGAGAGTATGCCCCAGTTGGGTTGTTATGGGTGTACGCTTTAATTTCGAACCCTTTGGTGGGACATCTGAATTTGGTGGGGATTTATTCAATTCAGAAATTGGCGGGGGCTCAAGTTCAACCATTAGGTCCGATGATTTCAACATCGTTTATGTTCAAATATTGGCTGAACTTCATTTTGATGCGGACATATTCCAAAGGAGCCTTTGAGCTTCCAGGGATAGGAACAAATCTTTCGCCATGTGCTATCCTGACTGGCGACAGTTACGGCAGTTAGCCAAAGGCCTTCATTTTTGCAACTGACAACTTATTGAGTAGGTTTGGGGAGGATGTGGGGGTGGGGCGGGTCCCAAACTTTCGATGGAAACACTAAAATGGGTGGTTTCCTGTTGGCGTCTAACCCAGAGGGTCCAAGTAGCTCCTGAGGATAGCTTCTGGAGAAAGGTGTCTAAGTACCTCCTTAGATGGTACTATACTTGGACCCTCTAGGTAAAAACTTGCTGGTTCTCAGAACGAAATGAGGCACTGACCCCTACGAGTATAAACAATCTCCTATGGCTTCCTTTCAGGGAAGCCCCAGGTTCATTCCCAAAACCCGGAGGGTCATTCCCTACCCAGCAGCAGCAAGAAAACAACTGTTCCCCTTTCATCAACAACACGCGTCCCAAACTTGGGGAAAAACGTGGGTTGTGTCCCATCGGCTTCTCACAAATTGTTCCTTTTCATCAACAACACGACTGGGCTGTCCTCAGATCCCCCGCTAAAAGTTTACCACCAAGCGCTAAAAGGCGAAAAAGCTAAGGGGATGGCTGGGAACCACCCAGACGTCGTTACTCTTTGGCCTCCCCTCCCCCCGTACGTCGCCTTCATGAGGCACCTCTCCAGGCGCCTTGCGAGTGTATCGAGCTCGCCAGACACCGCCTGAAGCGCTTCCGCTCAACTTCGGCAGCCCCCCGTAACCTTGGGTGAAGAGGGAGGCGCAGCTGGTTTCTTTTCAGGGAAATCCTGCACTCCCCCCCCCCCCCAAGGGGGGTGGCTTCCCTTTGGTTTCCCTTTCAAACATAGAATGATGATAATTTCTAACAAACAATGGTTTCAGTTCTTGCTTCGTGGTCCGATTTCTAAGTTTTGCAACCATCCGCAGTACGAGCTCATATGGCACGCCCTTTCCATGGTTTCAACCGAGGATTGAACATCCAAGCCATGCACACCCTTCAGAAAAACCTCCGGCCAAACATCCCTTGAAGAAAACCCAAATTGAGAGGGGGCACCCTGGGCGGCCGGTCCAAAAATAAGCCGGCCAGATTGTTTGACAAGCAAACCACCGACCCCTATTTTGCGAACCACCCATACCCTGACAACCCCTCAACCGAAAATGGAACCCACCTGCGCCCACGAAACCTTCGCTTCGGATCGCCTGTGCTGAGCTCGCCAAGGAGTCAGACACGCTGCGGCTGATGGGCCCGGGTGCCTGTCGAATGGGCGGAAGGCTCAACCAAGCACGAGTCCAAGAACCTTAATCCCAAGTGCCTTACTACAATAATTCCAAGCCTGAAATAAGACTTGGATCCACAAGTAAAGGACCTACATCATGGCGAGCTCGCTTTACCCCTGAATCAAGATCAGTTCAAAGAAGGACGGCTTCCCCGCCTGCTCCGCAGCAGCAGTGGGTTCCGACATGCTGCGGCAAACCGGCGCCTGATGGCGCGGGGTTTGGCCTGAGGATGGTTTCCACGACCCCCCAACCACCAAGGGTGCAACACTTTGAAAACCAATGGATGCCAACGCTCCTGAAAATGGAAGAACAAAGAGGAGGGGAGGTGGATTTCCCTGACGGCATGCAGGACAAACACCCCCCAAAAAAAAATTGTTCGAACCAACGTACCCTTTCACAACTTTTAAAAGGAGGTGTTTCTATCTGCAGAAAATGCTACAATCAGCATCTCCCCCCTCTCCTACCCTCAATGAAAGCAACAAAGGAACAGCCTAGAACAAGGTCTGCAAGAGCAATCAGAAGGAATGACAAAGAGGGGCGGGCGAAGCGTCAGCATCGTAATTGGAAAATTGGAAAATGTCCTTTTACGAGAGGGTAGGGATGTTGGTTTGGTTTCTACATGCTTCTAGCACCACAAAGGGGTCCTCCATTTTGAGAAAGCTCCCTGTGGATGTACCCATCGAAACCCTTGCGAGAGGAGCCTGGCACCGGAGCGGTCCCAAAGCAAGGGTTCCTTTTCCAGGTGTCCTTTGAAGCAAAGGACAAGACTCAGGGAAAGGATTAGAACCACTGACACCAGTGGAGTTGTTTTGCCCCACCCACTGAAAGCTCGGGATCTCAGCCCAAATAGGCTCCGGGCAACCCTGCGTGGTCCGGGGCAGCTCTGCGGTAAGGTGTAGCAGGGTTCCGCAAGGGTTCTGAGGTATCTGGAGTTTCGCAGGGTTCCGCGGGGGTCAAAAAAGAGCGCCGCGCGCTGTTGGGGATATCACCTGAGCTTATTTTGCGAGTGCTCAACCCAAGTGACTAGAAAGGGCAGAAATGACCTACTTTTCCTTGTTTAGTCCCCCTGGCTTGGGGTTTCCCGAAAATAAAATGGCACATCCTAACCACCGTGACCAACAAACGGCACGCACAGAAAAGCTGCTGCCTCCCATCTCCCGAATCATGCTCCAACATGCTCTAACTACCAGTCTGACGTAAAGCAACCGGACGATGGAACCTTGAAAAGGAACCCCAAGCACTCACTCCAATCACTCTTTGATGTCAAAGTCCGAACTGTTTGCTTGCCGCTAGAATTGGTCTCCAGGAGTGGGTGAAAGGGGAACCTTGGGGATGCTCAACATGCTTCAGCGCCTCGTCGGTCTCTGGCAGGGCCACGACCGCCGCGGGCGCTTCCGGCAAGGCCTGCCCGTCCTGTCAGATGGTAGGATTCATTTTGGTCGTCCCGGAAAGATGTACCAAAAGCGGGTCCGCCATTTTCAACAATGACTATGGCACACAATGGAAATGCGATTGCCAAAAAACTGGGGGTTGATTGGACACCAAGCACGGGGTTGCTCGAAAAGGACATATATACTGTACTTGCCATACAGGCGAAATTGGGGAGGCAGGTATGGCTTCCCAGTACATTGGGGCACCATCCCAAAATCAAATCAAAACGATTGTAAATGATATACAACCCTGATCCCCCTAGAAATTCAGCACGACGTGATCTGCCTATGTGCGCGCCGTCAATGTTGGACCCGGTCAACGTTTGTTTGAGTGAAGTAACACTTGAAACAGTTAAGACCAGCGCGGTGGGAAACCATTTGTCACATTATATACTGATGTGGGGGGGAATGCAGGGCATATACCCTGAGACCCTGTGCTGGGTGTTTCAAGGGCAAGAGAACAGAGATCAAGCTTTTCCCTCCTCCCCCTACCCCGATTCAGGAAACACCGATTGAGAGACACAACAATTGAGAGCAATACAAGGAGAACTATGGCAAGATCATTGCGAGTCCATAGCCACGTCCTTGCTACAGACATGGCCCACATGTCCCTTGTCAGGAAATGAAACACTGAAGGAACTAGTGTTCACTTGTAACTGGCAAAATGTTTAAAAAACCAACCCACGGTCTGAGGGGAAGTTCCCCTACGTAAACCCGCATGGTCCGTGCAGACCCCGGAGTGAATCCCATGGACATCGCATGGACACCCGCCTGTCGCGTCGACTTGGAGCCTCTGACTGCTCTCCACCATGCAAGGACCTAAGCAGAAGGTGGGGGGCTTGGCACGGCCCATGAGTCTATTTTGTAGCCAACCCTCAAAAACCCCATACCCTAAACAAAATGGCTACAAAATAAAATCGACCCATTCAATGTCCACCACACATGGTTGACCCTTGGCTCCTGAGGGACTTTCCTTTTCAATCTGCAAGGACATGGCCAGGGCTGGATAAAATGATCAAACCCTGGCGTTACACCATGCATTAAACAACCGTTCAAGGGACCAAGTGCTGCTGCTGCTTAACAAAGACTGCCAACAAGAAGGCCTCTCTAGGAAATGCACCATATCGGCCTTCTTGGGGAACTACTGCCCGCTTTTAAAGGGAACCCACAGGGAAACCGCCGTTGTTGTGCAAAGCTTGGCTCCCAACGACTTCGTCACCCAAAGCTCCAGCAGATTTCCAGGCTGGCTGTTTTTTCCTCTGCGGGGATGGGTCTCACTGAAAGCAGCAGAATGAACCCCGCCCCCATTTTCGGCAACCATGCCTGGAAAAGCATGGAAGCACGCTGAACTCCAACGAGGAAACAAAACAAAAAACGGCAACGCGAGGATATCAACTGTACCAAAAAATAGGAGTCCCAAACCCCACCGGCAACAAATGTTCCACAGCCATTCGCCGATCTGGAATTATTGACCTCTAAGACTTTCTTACAGTTCACCAATGACTAGCTAGGTGATTTGCGATCAATTGGATATCGGGACTCCCACAATTCAATGGTGTTCATCTTGAATTCTCTTCCGACCCATTCGCACCTGATGGAATCTTCCGCAGCAAAAGCAAATCCAATGGAGAATGGAATCAGCTCCAATAGAACCAGGGCCAACGCATGGACAACTTGATTGATTACCCTCCCAGCAAACATGAAACTGCGCAGGCCCCTCTGGAAGACGACTAGTTTGCAGAGCATGTGCTCTTGAGGTTTTGTTGTTGGAAGGGTCTTCCACGCAAAATCACATGGAACTCAAACACGGGGGCCTTACCCCAAAAGGTTTGTTGTCGGACGAGTCTCCTCGCAAAAGCACAAACCCCAAAAACGGGGCTTACCCCCACAAGGATGCTCCTCTGCGGAATGAGGCAATGGGAGGCTCCAATCCGTGCGGAGGCAAGTGGAGATTTTCTCATCCAGCGGAGCTGTGGCAAAAAAGAAGAAGAAAGAAGCCTTATGGAGCGCCGATCTGTAAACGTTAATACACTTCAATCAATACCATGACCATTCGAACCAATGCGCCAAAACCTTGGTCACGCAATGGTGCACTCAGTCACGAGGCAAAACAAAGCGAACTTAAGAATATAGAAGTCTCTAAGGGCAGTAGCTCCAAACTATGCCAACATACCAAACTGGTCGTTCAACAACTCTCAACAAAAGTGAAACGTAAGCAAAGCAGGAAAGTCCTTCCAACTTTGCAAAGTCTACAAAGTCAACCTTGCATTTCATCGGATCGGGTTGCGAGTTGCAAAGCCTCCCTTTTCCTTAGGCCCAACCTCCCTGAAGGCGGAACCGATGTGAGGCCCACAAATGCGCCGAACCGATTTCCCACCGGTTCCCAAGGCCCCAGCAGCCAAGACCTCCAGCACCAGCAGCACCAGCACCGTGGCATCCTCCGGGTAGCCCCATCTTTAAACAGGTTGAAACGAACAGCGTTTAAACACTCCCCTCTAAGAAAACCACGGGGGTTTTGAGAATCCCGGATTCGTACATCCCACTAGGGGGTGTCCCCGTTGAGTGGGATCCTTCACTTTCTGGGTGACACCCTTAGTCGGAGGGGCTTATTTTTCCGAAGTCAACAACAAAACGAACCCGGATACAGCTGTTCAACCATGCGTTGCCAAACCCTAATCCTCCAGCGCAACTTTCAGCTCCGCGGAGAGTAGCGCCGCGCCACTCCAAGCCATGGCGAAATGTAAGCGAGAAGCGAGCCTAAGGTGGTCAAACAGGAAAACATGGAATTCTGAAATGAGGCAGGCGATGCACCAAACCAAGAGATGGCTGTAAACCCAAGCAGAAGAGCTGGTAAGGCCAAAGAAAGCCGAGAAGCTAGAGAGAGACTACAAACAACAGGAAACCACCCGGAGCACGGAAAAGCTGCTGCTTCTTCCTTGCTTCGCCTTGGGCACGCTTGAGAAGGCGGCCAGCACCAACCAGTTTTGCACAAGCAGCCACGGCCACACTTAGGAACGTTCCCGCAAAGGACATGGATGTGTGTGTGTGTGTGTCTGTCTGTGCTTATATGAATAGCAATCGAACCCCCAAATGGATTTGATTTTTCTTTTTGGGCTTCCTTTAAGGACCTTGGTCAGCGATTAGACACCAAACTCACCTTGGTTGAGACATAAGAAACCTGGACATTCCCTGTTTCGAGGCATTTCCAGTGTGCACATAATATACACATACATGCGCTTTGTGACTCCCTGTTTGGCGTCTCTCCAAGTGACTCCAACCCTTCCAAAAGGTTCAAACCCGCAAGACCTGCCGAAGTGGCGAATTGGGCCGCCGGAAAGCAGCAGTGGGGTGCCTGGTGTCTACCCCCTGGCCTTTATCAAAAGTAAATCCACAGCTCCCTGTGGATTGGTGGATGACAGGGACACATTTTCGCCCCCCCCCCCCCCAAACCTTCGATTTTGGAACCATCCGGGTGATCCCTCATCTTGAGAACCGCCGGGGGTGGGTGGATCTTCAAGGGGCTTGGAATTTTGCGTTTCACTTTGGCTTCTGGTTCATCAAAGGAGGACCCATCAAAATTCCGAAGGCGACATTGGGACAAATCAGCGGACATGCATCTTACTTTGGGACCCTGAGGGCAAGGGGATTCATTCACTTCCAACCACTTAGGCGTTTCCACCCATGTTCCAACTCTGAAAATTCCGATATAAACCAGCGGAACCTGGCGCGGGGTTCGAGGTTCGCGGTTCGTCGAAGGCCTTCTTCACCTCCAACTCCTTCTCCAACTCCATGAGGGCCTTCCTGTCCTAGCGCGTCACGCGCTAAAAAAACCATGCGGCGGCCGGTGGGTAAGAGCCATAGAGCCAGTGCAAGCCTACCGTGGATGGACAGAATTTGTTTCGCTCCACCGAAGAGACCCTGGATTGATATGATCCCCTGTGAATACCAGCAAGCAATGGTTTAGTACTTCTTAGGTGGTGCGAAATGGATTCTGTCCATCCACAGTATGGTGTCTGTAGGACTATTCAGGGCCACGTCCTCCTGTAAGTAGGGAGCCAACAGCACATCCCTTTGAACCTGCCCTGTTTGACAAAAACACCATGGCGATCATCTTCGCCCATGCTGTCCCCAGGGGGTTACGGGGTTGACACCAATCCCCTAGGTTTGCCACCGTCCCATCATTGTTTGCTGTTCAACCAAACAAAAGGGCTGGGCCCGGACAGCCAGCTCATTTCCTCACAGTGTGTATCCATTTCTCCAAATTGTGCAATCATTGCAACAATTCCAAAACCTGAAAGGAATCCAAGTGCCAACATGGCTTTGGCACGTGGCTCGGCGGAATCCCTCAGTTTGGTCGCGTCGCGCGTCGCGCGTCGGGCTGGCGCCGGAAACCCCGGCCGCGCCTGATTGATGCTGGACTGGAAGTCCTGCACTCCCTGCACCAATGTCTCCGCCCGAACTTTGTCGGTGAAGGTGTCCTCCCGAGCGCGGACTGGGACCCCAAAAGCCATCAAAGGCACCTTCTTTTGGGGAAGCCCATGTTTGATGTTAATTTGCAAGGCGGCAACTACTTAACGTACTGATGATTTCAGATGTTCAGATGTGAGAAACACATGTTCGGCATCACTCTGGCGTTGTCATCATGTCTTCGGGTGTCAAGTCAGTACCCAAAATAAAGGGGTCATGACCCCATTTTTGAAGGATCATGGATACTCCAGGAACCTTGCTCAGAACTGCCACGTGCAGCCCCGAAACTCCTCTCAGAGATTTAGGGAATTCAGGGCACGGGGCGGCTCCGAGGAGGTTTCCAGGACCTGCGGGGCGGTTGCTCCGGTGTTGCTGGAGCCCGCTCAGATTCTTGGAACCCGATTTGGGCAAAGACCCCATCTGCTGTGTGAAAACACATGGCTTGATGGGGTCCACAATTGGGCAACATTTTTGCTTGCTGCCATTTGGTCTGCAGCAGTTTTATGATCCTGCCATTGCGTTGCTGGACCCCGAAGCTCCAAACTGCTAAAACTACGTAAGAATATTGGGCAGCAAAGAAGGCCAAGACCTCATTTTCGAAGGGTCATTGCAGAGTCCAGGTTCCGGAAATGCACGCGGCGGCTGTGAGGAGGGTTGCCGTCGGCTCTGAGCGAGGTTCCGGGACGCATCGAGCGGAGGGGGTGGCAGCACAGATCTGTTTCTGCTGTTGCTTCCGACCCATGGGGTTCGGTTGAAGCTGGGCCGGCTCGTCTGAAGCCGCGTCCCGTCAAGCTGGAGTAGCGCCGGTCCCCCGGTCGGCCACAACCGGGGGCCGTGGAGGTTTGTGTTGCACAAACCAGTCTCCGGTCGGCGTGCAATACCATGTCCCGGTCGGTGGCCGAGTGGTCGCCCGCAAACGCAGCCCGTCACCCCGGTTTCTGGCCGACCGGGGACCGGTGCCCGCCCTGACTTGCGAAGTTTACAGTTTGGCTTATGCGCCGGGGAAATGGCCCAGCTCTGCTTTCGGGTTAGAGCGGTACCCGAAGCAATGCCGGTGCCCGCGCAGGTTTTCAAGGGAAATGAACAGGTCAGCTGTTTCTTCATCCATAGCGGCGACGTACGACACATTGGGGCATGCGGTCTGCGTTGTTGGGGTATATGAGGGGGCCCCCGAATCAAACGCAATCCTGTTTGATCAATGAAATGTTCCATTGCAACGAGAACCCTTCACAGCATAGCCATCCGAGAGCGGGTTCGGGGACGACGCACCAGCGGTTCCAAGCAATGGCATCCGGGGGCGGGGTTGTCAAAAATACTGCGGACCCTGGTGCCAGCCGGTGCCGACATTTTACGGGCACCAAACAAGCCCAAAGAACCTAGTGATCAGCTTCCCCCCGAAGCTCGATTGGAGGGTCCTGGTTTCTCACTAACCTAGAGGAATCTGGGGTTCCAACCCAAATCCAAACCACCAATCCAAGCCACTTTAAGTGGTTCCATTTCAGTCCGGCATCCGCACATCACCAACAAATGGTTGTTTGTTGCTTCGCGTAAAACCCCGGGACTGCCTGCCCAAACGTGACGTCACGGTGGGTCCTGGTGCAGCACTTTGCATCCCGTGGAAGACACGGAAATGCGTCCTGGGCTCCGCAGTTTGGGCTGATGGGAAGGCCGCCTCGGTTTCTAAGGGTGGGAGTTGCCTTTGGGGCGTTTTAAGGGAACCAAACGTCCGTACGGACACCTTTTTTGTGGGCGGGGGGGGGGGGGGGGCCTTTTTTAAGACCCAACACATGCGCATAAATGTTCATTGGAGACCCTTTGGTGCACAACCTTGGTTGACGTTGGAAGGGGAGCAAAAAATTAAATTTTAGCAGTGAAGTGGTTGGATTTCAGCCACTAAACCATAATAAGCAAAAATGTGTCAAATGTTTCCCGACAACAACCATGCAACTGCGCTTGAGGTAGTTCTAACTCTTAAGGTGAACAAATACCATGCTGCTTTCAACAACCTTGTTTTGGCTCCAGTGGTTGGAGTGCCAAACCGAGTTCCAAGCCCTCGAAAGGATTAAGCCGAGCAGCCAATTTGGCTGGTTCCCAAAGGGAGGATTTTCCCATTTTGCAATTGTGGTGGTTCCTTTTTATGTCTGGCTTGGTGCCAAACTGCTCTTCAGTTCATGTCGCCAAACAACAGGTCACCCGTTTGAGCTGCACATCTCACAGACTGTTCTCGCAGGCCCTCTTCACAGACCAATGTAGATTAACCTATTTCTCTAACGGACAACTGCACCTCTGCACTTCCAAGTCCACTTCGCAAACGTCCTACCCCTGGCCGCGACGACGAGCCTTCACTTCACCCGCTTGAAAGCCCAGGATGCCCCGCCTGACCGCATCTGCGAACGGAAGGCCGCCTTGTCAAAGACGCAGTACGGCCTGCGGCTAGGCTAGGCGGCAAGGTCCATGAAGCCTAGGACCCAGCAGGCCACTAAACTCGTTGCCAGAAGCAGGACTTTGAACCCCGGCCCCCGTATGTGTACAGTCCAAAAAAGACCAACATGAAACCAACATCAACTAACCATGCCAAACTTGGCACCCATTCGAGTCGCGAAGCGTCTCATCAGTCTTTCAAGGACCCTGCCTACTCTTCACCACCGACAATCCGCTCTTCTTGGACTTGTCTGGATTGTTCACAGGCACCTCGGCGCGGAAAAAATAAAACGGTCTTGGCCCTGTCTCAACAGAGAGACTCTTTTTCTGGGCTGAGTCACAATCCAAACCTGGTATTCAAACAGTCTACCCAAGCGCAGTCAGCCAGAGTCAATACTAATTGTCCCCTCAAGTGACATTGACATTGCTCTTTGTTGTTATGAGACCAACCCATTCCCGGGGTGTATTTTCGTGAGTGTTGACCAGTGCTCAAACCAATGCAAAGAATCAAAAGGGCGGGATTGTCCGTCACCAACCTTCAATTGCCCCGTGTTGATAGTGGCCCAGATAGGCCGTCCAAAAGCGTCCCAGGCCCAGAGATAGAGCCGTTAAGAGCAAACCAAGAGGAAAGCGGACAAATCCGACATGGAAATACCAAGCAAAAGCTCTAAAGTGAAGCCAAATGCGCCATGGCGGCTGCACCTAATTCTGGCTGAGACTCTCCCTCTAAAACCTCCACTGGCCTAGGTGTTGGCTCACTTTGTCCACCCAACTGGCCCTGTTGTTGTCTGGATTGGCTCCAGGCCTTCGAGCTAAGCAAGAAGCTCGAAAGAGGATCACCAGGCCAATTTAGTATTCCAATTTGGTCAGCGACCCAGCTCACAGTTCGGGGATGATGACACAGCCATCATAATGTTCAAGTGAGCCTGAAATCCAGCTGTCAGGAAGAGATACCACAACATATGGCTTCAGTCTACCCAAAACCGGCAATCCAAAGGGTGGATTCCTGTGCCTACAAGGGCAAAAATAACTAGCATGTGGTGCTGCCCCTTGGTGCTCTCAAACAAATCAAGCCGCCAGGCTCCTTTAAGGCTACGTCCAAAGATCAAGCTGGGAAAGGTGATTTTCAGTTGCCATTGTATCAATGTAAGACGACCCAGTCCGTCCCATCCCTCCTAGTTGTTGCCCTTTTATCCGCTTTTGGAACTTAGCCTCCTGTCTGCCGCCCAACTTGCTCCCGTCTCGGCAAGCCGCTGCGAAGCCATCACTGATCTCCCCCCACCTCAGACCATAAGACGATGCGCAGCACACCAAATTGCGAAGATTTACTGAGTAGGCCTTGAGGTCATCCGCCGGGCTTCCCCAAAAACCAACACCTGCCCACCAAACCTGTCCTGTGGCCTTTGCTGGCGAGGAAAACACAAGAGGTGATGCATGTCCTACAAGGCATCTGGACCTGTTGCCCCATGGATGGCATTGTCATGCCTAAGTGGTTGTGAACCCACAGCACCAGCTCGTGTTTTAGGGTAGGGTTGTCGTGACATCGCTGTGCACGTGGTGTCCCAAGGAGGACCTGTCAAGGAGGACAAGCGCAATGAATGGAAACAAGGTTACCTTTGCTTCGTGGTGTTTGGATGCTCAAGAGAGCGGTCCAGGGGTTCGGTTTTGGAATGTACGGGGTTGCTGTTGGGGAAAGGATACTATGTAGTCTGGCCAACTTACTATGACTCCCAAACCGGAATAATGGACTCCCCCTCTTGTAAAGAACCTTCATCATGGGGCTGTCACTCGTCTATCCCGCGAATCGGTGAGCTCGATTTAATTTGCCCAGATGTATTTGTATGTATTTGTCTCATAGATCCTGTGAAGTCCATAGGCTAGTGTGAAACGCTCAGCCACGATAAAACAGACACCCCCAACAACAACTCAATGGTGGGCATCCAATTTCCATACTAAATCCACCAGGTTAGGTGTAAACGACCCTCACGATACCTATCAAAATTTCAAGTGGGCCCTTTGTACCAAAGGGACATACAGGTTCACAACAGGGGGCTGGAGGGGGGAGCGATCCCCAATCTTGAAACACTGCCAACACACCGCTTGAAAAGGTCTCCCACTGGGATGCAACTTGGTAGTCTTTGTCTCACATGACAAGCAATCGACAACGTGTGCGCTAACCCGAGGCCAACGTTGGAGAATCGTCGACGTGGCGGCTCTGTTCACCCATCACCTGCGATCCCTCGGGATCCTAAACAGAATCCTTGCAAATTGGCAAGAATGCCTGCAGGAATGTGTCAAAGGGAATCTCCATGTAGGATTTACCTTCAAAGTCATCCCTGCTTTTGACATACTCGCATCCCCGCAAACTCCCAAGTTCCGACGGAACGCTCGAAAACGATGCGCGGCAAGAGCCCCAAAGTTGCATTTTCAGTTGTCTCCCAGCAAACCCAAAACCAGCTGCAAGCTACTGACATAACCATGCTGGGCGCGCAAATGGGATACTGACATTTGCCATTCGCACAAAGGCAAATCTTGACCGACTCGGTAATTTCAGGTGCGTCATATTTCGACCTCAAACATATCCGACAATTCTGGAGCCCCAAAACAGGTGATTCTCCTTTGGCTTCCCTTTCAAACCGCCAAAAAACTCCACACGCACAGGTTCAATCTAAGAAACCAGCTACAGGAAATGCTGGAAATTCGCCCAACCCCCAGTTCTCAATGGGATTCCCGCAAAAAAATGCCCCCCAGGGTCGCGGGTTTTGGCCAAGGCGAGCACTCGAATCGCAAAGCTACCGCTCGAATAAGGTGCCGGCTGCCAGACGTCGGCGTTGCCGGCCGCGGCCAGGGAACTGTCGCAGCCGGCCTCGGCAAAAGGCTATGATGTGGGTGTGACAAAATAGGGTGGTGTCCGTTTAATCCCCTATCAAACAGGGTGGGTGTGTAAAAACTGTGGTTTCCACATCATGATTGTGACTCATGCAACTGGCGCACCTTTGTCCTTGTCCAAACTGTCAAAATAAACACCTTGTATGGGAAATCCCGAACGCCAGTGATATTTAAGCCAACAAATGAGCGCCCAAGACCCATTGACTTTTGGTTCAAAGATGGTTCTAAAGGCTTATACGGTGTTGTTTGAGGGCTGGTCAAAACTTCTCTGTGTCATGGCCACGATTCCCCGAACAGGAACCCTCACAGTGGAAGTCCACATCCCCTTGTCAAGGCTTGACCATCCCTAATCTCTTCCCCTTTTAATAAAAGGACCCTATTAATAAATACTATTTTTCCCAGACCGCCGGGTCCCAATACTGCTTTTAGAATAGGCCAATTCAAAACCAATACTAAACTCCGGGATTTCTCACCCAGACCAGCCCCAGCCTTATTAGGGGGTGGGTAATTAGTGCAGGACCCGAGAGCACGCTTCCTTTACTACGGTCGTACTACAAAGTTGCGACTTTCGAACCGGAGCCCCGGGAGCACGCTTCCTTTACTACGGTCGTACTACAAATTTGCGACTTTCGAGCCGGGGCCCCGGGAGCACGCTTCCTTTACTACGGTGGTACTACAAAGTTGCGACTTTCGAGCCGGGGCCCCGGGAGCACGCTTCCTTTACTACGGTCGTACTACAAATTTGCGACTTTCGAGCCGGGGCCCCGGGAGCACGCTTCCTTTACTACGGTGGTACTACAAAGTTGCGACTTTTGAGCCGGAGCCCCGGGAGCACGCTTCCTTTACTACGGTCGTACTACAAATTTGCGACTTTCGAGCCGGGGCCCCGGGAGCACGCTTCCTTTACTACGCACGTGGTACTACAAAGTTGCGACTTTTGAGCCGGAGCCCCGGGAGCACGCTTCCTTTACTACGGTCGTACTACAAATTTGCGACTTTCGAGCCGGGGCCCCGGGAGCACGCTTCCTTTACTACGGTGGTACTACAAAGTTGCGACTTCGAGCCGCTTCAAGGAATAAACGTCTTTGTCTCGGAAAGCCGCTCACACCCAAAAGGACCTTACTAAACGTTTCGCCCCGGAGGCTGATTTACTAATAGGGGGGGGGTCCGCGTTTAATATTAGGGGGAAGAGATTATCAACCTCGAGCGTGTCTTGAGTCTTGAGTGACATTTGACAGGGAACCCCAAAAAACTGATTCTTTGCCCTAGGGTTCAACCCCCTTTAAACGAATGGTCGACCCAATTTGGATGATGACAATCCTTGGTTCATATACAACCACCATTGTTTTAATGGCTTGAACCCCGGGCCGTGGTTTTCCTTTTGGTTTCCGGTGTCCCTTCCATCCAAAAAAAAAACCGACCCCGGTGACCAGCGTACACCTTCCGGTGCCCGAGGCCCCGGCGTTCACCTTGGAACCGACGAAATCAACCCGCGGCTTGGCATGGAGAAAAACCCTCAATCTGGTGGAGTTACATCGGGTGAACTCCATCCAGGGCATTTTCGGAACAAATTTAATATATACATATATATATATATGTATATATATGTACGTCTACATCCTCTTTTTGAACAATTGCTCGTTCTGGCTTCCCTGTTCAAGGGAGCAGGGAATGACGGCTTCAACACATTTTGCCCAACCCTGGCGCACCAACAAAGAAGGTGCCAAATGCAGTCAGCATGCCAAAGACACACACCCGGAAAGAAACAATGCACTTGCTTGTTGACAAGGGTGTATGTTTAGGAGCTGTAAACTCTGAAACAAAGGCGGGTGTCGATTTTGCCAGCTTCGACTTGTCTTTGTGTCTTGGAGGACAGGGTGAACGGACCAGGGCGTGACTCATCCATCATGCGACTGGTCCCCCGCTGGATGGATCAAGCCACCAAGTAGGTTGCGGGATCCCGAATGAGCTTAGCCCGTACGAGCTTCCCTAGGGAACCCATGAATCCCCAAGGCATCTCAATGAGTCGCAAATCCCTTGGTGACGCCTAAGAAGTTCACGACGACAGACAAAACCAAGCAAAGAACACAAAACAGTCCTGCAAACCACGAGCTGCACAACTCCAACACAATCCGTGCAGCCATCTGAGCGTCAAAAGGTTGGACAAACTCGAAAAACATCACCCGAGTCGCAATCAAAGTCTATCAAAATGGTCGGCCTAAAACCAGCAGCGTGGTGATCGCCCGCCAAACTTTGTCAGACATCTCTCGCATGCTGCCAGGGGGCTGTGACTATGGCGCCGCCTTTGTTGGCGCCCAGCCTCGATCGCTACCGGTCCATAGGGATAAGAAGAACAAAGTTATTGATTTGTGATTCCTTGGCGGGGGGTTCTGGTCACGTTGTGTAACCCCAGGTTGACAACAGGTGTCAGATTCTATGGAGGCAATCGTCAAAGTTTATCCATCTGGGGTCAACAGGCTTCTGGGACATGCCCACTTTTGTGATACTAAAAGTAGGCCTTTCGAATGTAGTGGACATTTCCTTGGTGTCACATTGGGAACCAAGCCCTTCCCGCAACCCTTCTACAATCCCAGGAAGAAAAAAAAACCGCCCTTGCGATCTGCCACCCATCTGTCGATTCTGTGCCAGATCCACGAAACCGCACAACGACTTCGAGTTGTTGGTAAAGAACAAGTCGAGGGCAACTAACATAAACTTCGACAAGCTCGAAAAGACAGTCACATCCATCTAATACACCACCCAAAGGTAAGCAACCCCCCCCAGAACATGACTCTCCTGGGGAGGTGGGTCCTGGCAGATAGGTTTCGGGGCCCGTCTACCCATGGCGGATATCCATGGCCAGACTGTCCTCCGTTCATCCCCCGGTTGCCGCTGGGTCGGGATCCCTGGTTGACCCAGATTTGTCCTCCTGGTTGCTTCTTGGGGGTCGAAACCTCTGGGTTCCCTTTGAACAAAATAGGTCAAACAAAAGGACTGGGTTGGTCTTTGACCATAGGTTTGCAGGCTTTCGTGGAGGAAGCAGTTGCGTGTGGGCCATAGGGATCCAACAAATTGTGGCAACCTCTGGAGGCGTCCCTTTGAAATCATTTGAAAACAAAGAAATATATTACATACATATATGTATATATACAAAAACCAATATATATAATATATAAGAACCCTCTGCTTTTCCACAGCCAAGGGGCTGCAGCGAGTCCATACCCTCCGCGATGGGCGGGTGGCCTGCAGCTTGCCGAGAGAGAAGCAACCGCCAACCACGGACGGAGGTTGAATCAACAGAAACAATCCTCCGTGGAGGCCGACCTCTCAGACGTTGGCCCCAAAAGCTATATAGAAACATAATTCTGAGAAGGGCTCGGGGCTCAAACATCAGGGCAGCAAAGCATCCTCGACCCAAGGTGTCTGCTTTGGAGGGTACCCTTTTTGGGGCGGCCTTTCCGGTTTCCCTCGTTCAGGGACTGGGGTTCCTATGTCAAGACCTGCAAATAACAGGGCATTTGATGGCATGAGATCGTCCAATACCTTCATGAAAAGTAGAACCGCCAGGAGGCGTTTGCTCCCAGACAAGTAAACCATTCCCCCGCAACTTGATGCTTGATCAACGGAACCCCCTACGAGTTCTGACAGAGTAAATGGCCATTCGAATCGCGAGATGCGGAACTCAAAAAAAGCGCGATAAGCTCCCACCGCGGCGTCGTCCATTGCTCTGGAAGAGTCCCCAAAATGGATTCGCTATTGTGGGAAGCCCCCAGGTACATAGTGGGGAAACTCGACGTGAGCCTTGAAAGGCAGCTCCCGTTGACTTCCACAGCTTTCGCAAAGTACGCGGTTTTGACACACTCCCGTTTGGGGACATACATGCCCACCACACCCCCCATTCATACAAAAATGAGTTATACACCTTTTTCTTGGGGGCCCCCCCTTTCCATTTATTACTTGCCGGGTGGGGATGGATGTACCGCCCAAAAAAGCCTTGCATCCCCCTCAGGTTCGGACAAACCTTCACCGGCTGGGTCTGGTCCCTGGAGGTGCCAAACCGTAGCGATGGCTTCCGACCAAGGCTGTGGATGGTTGTGAAATCCATTTTGCACCACCCAAGAAGCCCTGGAATGATTCGATTCCCCTGTAAATACCAACAAACGTTGTGGTTTCAACCATGGTTCCACAGTGGTGCAGGATTGCGTCCATCCACAGGAGGTACCCAAAATGGAAACATGGACTTAAAACCTGTGGTTTTTTGGGTGGTTGAATTTTCGCCCATACCCAGATGTTTTTGCGCGCTTGGTGGATTGTCTAAAGAGGTCGACCGGGAATGATTGGGAGCAACATCTGTGGGAACACCCTTAGCGGCATTAAAGTTCTCTCTAGGCTTAAATCGCATCCCTATTCGCCCTCCAGGTGTTTCCCTCAACCAGCCATGCGTAGTCTCCCTGCTTTCCGACAACGTGTCCAGTTTTCCATTTGAGACTTTATGTATGTCATTTTCTTGATCTTACCCAGAGATAACTACCCCATTTCGATCCATTGCGGGCATCCTCCCCATTATATTTTCAGACAACCAATGTGTGCGCGTGTACCTTCAACTTCAGAACCGCCGCCTGAAGCCCAGAAACCCGAGTCACGGTTTCGACTCGATCAACTCAAAAGCGCTGCCCAGCTGAAGCTCAAGTCTCAGTTCCTCAAACGGGATGTCTGCAGACACACACCGAAAACCGGCCCCATGCCACAGAAAAGGCCTTAAAAATGGGTGGGTCATTGGACAACCAACCTGAAACGGGTACCCTCAACAAACCACATACACGAGTACTCTTTCGAGGAAGCCACAGAAACGAAAATTTGATCGGGGGCCAGGCCTGTCTGTACATAAAACAGAGCCAACCGCGGTCACATGTTGTGTGTGTGGGCGCGTTGTTTAGCTGAAACGAAAGCCAAAATACAAACAAGAAGGATGTGTCTTTCTTTAGGGGAGCCCTCAAAATGATGGGCTTCATGTTGGATTCCCTGAAAACGAGCCCCAAAAGGGTAGCCTGAAAAAGAGAAACAACACCCGTATCTGTAAAGGGGCCCCTCTATTTTGACACATGCGGCATTTTTCTGGAGTTGGCCCTACCTTTTTCTGCCAATTCGAAAGCCAAAGATGAGTCCAGCTCTGAACAGAAATGTTTGATTCATCAAATTGCGCGAGGTAGGAACAATGAGCTGAGGACCCTGTGATCTACTCCCCAGGCCGACAAACAAGCAGAGCCTGCAAGACAAACACCTGTGCCTCTCGGCAATTCACACGGCTATCTTCGGGATATCTGGAAGATGACCTTCCTCTTCTTTCGGGACCCGGCAGACCCCGGTAGCTGGATGTGCGCGATTGTTGAGGGCACCCTCTTCACCTTGGGAAGTAAAAGGCAAACCGCTGAAGACTGCCGCCTTTATAGGGGTGCCCAAATTTCAGTATATGGCCATAGATCAAAAGCCCGTACCCGTGCACATCCCAATCCCCACTAAAATAGGTTCTAAAATGGGTGATGCACCTACCCCAAACTCCAAACTGGGATCCCATTGGTTTTGACAACCACAGCCATATTTGGCTGTGGCTCAAACAAGCGGCACCAAAATGGTACCCTGGTCAGCGGAAACCTGGACCAACACCTGCGTAACCCTGGCTTTTTAATTTTGAAGGCACTGCCATTTCTGGGGTGGGGGGGGGGGGGGCAAACTGGGCTGTTCAAAGTGGTTTGGGTTGGCAAATCCTAATCCACAATCCCCAGCCTGAAGTCCCCGATGCCCAGCTGGCCCTGCTTGTTGCGACCCCACGCCCAAACCTGAGCCAGCGGAGGCAACCCCAAACGGCCCCTCTCTGCGCGGATTTGGGGTTACCCCCAAAATGGGAGTGGGCCCCAGTGTTTGCATGTGTTTCTTGTGCTTTTTTGTTTTGCAAAATTCAAAACCACTCCAAAAGGGTGGGGAGTTTTTTTGTTTTGGGGGGGCCTGCAAACTTTGGACGGCTCCACCCTTCAAGGACAAGGGCAAATGCCCCTGAAATGGGCATGCCAGAACTCAACGCGGACGCGCCTTAGCCCCCAGAGCATTCCTCCGACTCGATTGCGAGAAAAATCTGAGTGGCACCTCCAAGAATCAGCGCGAACAAAGCCCCCTCTTTAGACCCCCTCCTTTCCAAGCCCGCACAAACTCGTCACAATCAACACCTCGTCTCATACACTCTAACCAGAAGCATGGCTTCTGCGCAAAAGGGTGAAGATCCACGCTTACGCTTTCTAGAGAGTAAAGGGAGAAAGGGAGGCTTTTGCCTCTCTCCTTCGTCCACGAAACGGGGGTCTGACGTTGACCAATTCGCGGGGGTCTTCAGCCGGATCTCCTCGAAACCTGGAACCCCAATCAAACTCAACCAACCGTTGACCAATCCTTTCACTTCCCACAAACCTTGCCCATGAACAGCACCCAAAAAGCTTTAAACAAAACACACACCAACCATGAACCCAAACACCTATCAGAAAACAAACAAAAAACATGCACGAAACAAAACCAAACCAATACAAAACACAAAACACGTCAACACGTAAAGAACAGAACCCAGCAAGCTAGAAAACAAACAAAAACACCTAGACCAAAAAACTTACCCAAACCTGCGAAGCGCGCTACGTCGCTGGTTTTCCCAAACCCTGGACCTCCTGGACCCCGCGCCAGCCCTGGGGCCACCAGTGCCAGGCAGTGGTGGTGCCCCGCGCTGACCTGCGACTTGGGACCCAAAATTCTCGGCGGCAGGCGGGCCCGGGGAACAAGCGGCGGCCCAACAACGAGAAATCGAAGGTCCAAGCTCCAATGGGGTTCTTCGAAGCTTCCCACTTGGCCCTCTACAAGAAACAGGGGTTCACCCTTTGCGGGGAAAATGGAGGGTGGTGGATGAGGCCATAGCATATCTCCCAGCGACGAGTGCGTGGGAGTGCACAAAGCCCCAAAGCCCCTTGGGAGGAAAGAAATCTTTCAACAGGGGTCTGTGCCCTTTTCCATGGTAGTCGGTGGGAGGATTGGTGTCCTTGTTGGGCAAAATAGATGGCCCTGGTAGATGGAAAATGAAACCCATCAGCAGTGCGTTCGATCTATTTCTAAGCAAACTCACCTGAAAAGTACACCTGCGGTCGGTCGATCCACTGAACAGCCACTTTGGAGGTACGGAGAAGGCAAAGTGAGGAACTCATTTTGGATTCCCTTTCAATCATCCATGTCAAAATACTGGGACCCCAAGATGCATCCTTCTTCCCTTTGAACTGACCTAAAAACGGTACTCTCCGCCTCACGGAAGCAGCCCATGTGGGGAACGAGCTCCCGCAGTCCCACATCGAAGCTTTGGGACCGGCCTGGGTGACCTCGTACCCGCTGAGGCCCAGCACCGGAAACGGCCTGCCGCGTGGCTCTTAGGATTTGGACCCCCCAAAACGGGAGCCATCCTTGTGGCTTTCCTTCTGAAAACTTGGAAAAGGACAAATGTAGAAGATAGGATTGGAGAAAGGAATATGCCTTCATGACTAACTACTACTTTCCAGAGTCTACGAAAAGAGATTGATGCTCAGGGACATCTTGTTCCTCTCATTGCGTTCGCGCGAGGGTTAGAGCTTGGGGGGTGGCCGGGGGGCCCCCAAAGTGCAGGTGTCCTCCTCAAAATCCTCAGCCAAACCTGGCGGACCTCCCAGCGCACTGGCTGCAGAAACGTGCGAAGCATCGGGAGTGCAAGCTGAGACAAATGTGAAGAAATATGTGACTGCGTGGTTTTGCTTGTGCGTGTGCGTGTGCTTGCGCTCCAACCTAACAACACTAATTTGGGTGTAGTGGGTGTGATCTAATTGGAGACCCAAATAGGGTCGGATCTGTGTACCTTCAACTGTCGGACCATTGTCAGCGCCATCCTGCAAGCCACACACACACCTCCCAGGATGGTTGGTGACATTCTCTGACAGCAGGGATTCTTTGACCAAACAAGAATTCGTGTGTTGCTTAAAATATGAATTTGGCCATGTTCCTTAAACATGTCGTGTTTGATTGTGGTGGTTTCCGGCTAGGAAAGGTGCCGCTACCCCCTTTCCAACACTTAGTAAGTGGGCAGTTGCCGGCTCGTTCAAGAGGACTATCTTCCAAACTCTGCACCGTTAACTTCCATTGCTGAAACAAGGGTGTGTATACGCTTACTTCAGGGAAATCCGCATCATTTAGATGAGAACTTTCTCTAAAAAAGCATGACCCCTCAAAGAAACAGTTGCCCTCTCTGAAGGTAAGAGAGCCTCAAGCCCCAAACAGTTTCGTGGAATTCACCTCTTCTGTCCCATGGTATTCATGTGCCCCTTTCTTTCAGGGGCCCGAAGGAAGCCCAAAAAGTTCGATCCCAAAACCAATGCCTTTCCTTCTCGATGTCCCTTTAGACCAACCCCAAAACAACATGGTACCCAGCCCGTTTTCTTTTCCATGCTTCTTTCGGTGAGTCGGCACCCTTTGGCGAAACTGGCTTCAAGGGAGAAATTGACCCCAGACGGACCACACACAAATCCGACCCAAAAAAGGCCGACGCCCCCAGCGGGATGCCCCACCCCAAAATCAAGCCCACGACGCCAAGCGGCCCACGAAGCTTTGACACGCCTGCCGAATTCTTCCTTGAGCACCGGGGTCCTTCCCAGCTGCCCGTAGCGGTTGTCCCCCCAGGTGAAGGCCACCCCGGCGTCCGAGAGCAGCACCCCGTGACTCGGATTCGGCGCAGAAATCAAGGGGAGGCGCCGTTTTACCCTGTTGTAATGGTGGGTTTGGTGGTGCCCCTTTTTTGGGGCTGGAATTGGTGGTGCCCCGCTGGCGGTTTTTCAGGGAACCGCTTTTTGGGGGTGGGCTGCCACTTTTGGGGGGTTTCGCTTTTCAGGTGGCACTCCCATTTTGGGGGGTGGTTCAAAAAGGAAACCAAGAAGGAAACCCCCCAATCTAAAAAAGATATCCCTTGTTTTGACACATAAGCGGATGGCAGTTGGATGGTCCGGATGGAGCCCTACTGGCATAAGCCACCTACCAGTTTGTACATCAGTACTTCACGCCAGTGGTTTGGAGCTTTGGGGGCAACTCATTTACCTCCACACGTCCTTCCCCTCTGAACGCCTCACGCTATGCTGCAATCAACCTCCATCTTCAGAACTTGGTCTTTCGGCTAGTTCGGCTAGACGCAACAAGGCAGAAAGCCCGTTTCAATCCGCTCAACTTGGTTTCCAGCCGCAAGTCGGTTTGACACGCAAAAGAGCCGCCCCAAAGTGGCAAGGGACCCCCTGATACAGACCCACCTGAGTGACTTCCTCTAGAAAAAGCAATAAAAACAACACCGCAAACCGCGCGCCCGCTCTGCGATCAGACTATCCAACCGAGGTGTTTTCCAGCCACTCTGGTGGGTTTGCTTTTGGGTCAAGGCTCATTGCTAAAATCGGATCCCGCGGGGAAGCAGCTTCCGGGGATTCCCGTTCCCGTGTGTTCTGCTTTTTGTTGCGACCCAACGAAAGCCCCCCCCGGCCAAACGCGCGCAGGCGTTGGGAGCCCGGGCTCGCGGCCCAGGCAGACCTGCAGCACGCGGTGCCGGTCCACCACGCAGGTCCCCAGCTGCGCCTCGAGCGACTCGCCATCCGCGCGCGCCGGTGGAACCCTCTGAGGAGAAAGGATGGGGCCCAGATAGGATGCCCTTAGATTTCTCTCCTCCCAAAGTGGAACAGGGAATTGCCTTAGATTTCTTGGGGTTTCTTTGGATTTGGACATATGTTTGGTTGCCCTCCTTCATTTTAGGCTAAACCTGTGTCCAGTGGGTGAGTTCTGGGATTGATATCTATGCCTGGAGGGGTTATATAGTACGGGGGTCCTTTGAGTTTCAGCCAAGAGGGCCAAAAGGGAAACTGAGCGGAAGCCCACATGGTGGCAGTTTGATGAGCGTGCCCAATGGCATTCTCTTGACTGCAGATGACAGTAAATATTGGATTGGTTACTAAGCTTTTACCCTCGGTTGGTTGCTACTAAAATGATCCAAACCCCAAAAGTACAAAGTCCAGAACCTCTTGTGTGTGTCGGATTACTCTGTCCCGAAGGGCGTGACCACTGCAACTATAAAGTCCAGCAACACGTAGGGTGAGTTTGCTCATTAAAGTGTTTCTCAACATGCCCCTTTCGGCTGGTAGTTGAAGGGGGAAACCAGAAGGACACCTTACAAATGTGTCTGATTTTAAGGGCACCGGGTATTGGTTGGGTTTAAAGACAACCCCAAAGTCAAACCGGGTTCTCTATTCCAATTTCTTTACTTAGCTCTTTCTTTTTTTTTTGGGGGGGGGGAACCCAGAGGCAACTCGCGTTCTTTGAATTGATAGTGATGTTTGTGTGCTTTGATTTTGTTGCTTGTTTCTTCTTTCCTTTCTTTCTTTTTGTGTGGGAGGGGGGGGGCCGGAGGGGGGGGAGTGCTTCAAACAAAAACACACACAAAAACACACAAAAAAAACACCAAAAAAAAACAAGAAAAAGACGGTGGATCCCATCGGTCGCAAGCGGCGCCTGCGGCGCCAAGGGCAGGCTGGCGCCGTTGGACTCCACCAGCACTTCCGGCTTGGCATCGTCCCTGCGGGCGCGTTGACCCGCTGCTCCCCGACCAATGGGGGCGTCTCTTGCGCTGGACGGATGGTTTGGTGGATCTAAAGGGAAACCAAGGCGAAACCAAATGGAAGCCCAAGGGAAGCTTAAGGGAAACCGAAACAAAACCAAGGGGAAACCAAAGGGAAATCAAAGGGAAATCAAAGGAAAACTACTGATTAAAAAGGTGTGGATTGACGTTGAACTGATAGCAAACTCGTTTGCAATCTCCTTTTGGGGCGCCACAAATTAGATATATCAATTTGAAGGGAAGTAGTTCATCCCAGGATTCAGCTCACGCGTTGTTTGGGTGAAATCATCCAGGAGGTCCTAACCAACTGGGTTCCCATTTGGAGTGTGCCATGACTTGCCGGCTCCAAACTGGGCCGAGCAAAACAAGCAAATGACTTGCGGCATTCCCAAGCACATTGTCATCGCCATCATCATCAACAACAACAAAAGCAACAGCACCAGCACTTGAAAAAAGGACAACGATAACACACATAACACGTCAACACTGCCGCATCTGCCTTTATTCGCGCACACAAACAAACAAACAAACAAACAAACAAACAAACAAACAAACAAACAAACAATTCAACAAACAAACAAACAAACAATCAATCAAACAAACAAACAAACAAACACCTGTATTGATTGCAAGATTGCACCTGGTAAAACAGGAAGAACTACACAAAAAAACACCCTGATCATTGTCTCAACCCTCCTTCCACCAGACTTGTGAGAACAGGATGTGATGAACCACCCTTTTGGCATAACCTCTATTTGAATGGAGCGGATTTTTTTCTGATTCCTACTTTCAAGAGTTGGGAACAAAGCGCTGGGGCTCTGGGCGCCTAGCTGGAGAGTGCAAACAGAAGGAAAGGTCTCATGTGGATTCACGCGCAATAGAGGTCCCTGATTTTTTTTTAGTTCAATGTCAAGCGGGTAGCCTTTTTCTGATGATGGAGAACAGGACAGCTCGTAGTGGTTCAAAGGTTGAACGAAGTTGTCTTTGCAGGGCTTCTTACAAGGTGGTCGATCATCCAGGTGCCACAAAACCATGGAGCACAAATGGCAAAGGCGGTCGGCCACGCAATGATGCTAAAGCTATCTCTCAAAACTAGGTACCCAAAAAGATCCAAAAAGGAACCCTGGCAAAAGACAAAGTAGACCAAAAACCTGGGTGACCCCCGCCGTTGAATTTTGAGCCACGCCCATATTTGCCCGATCACAACTCAATGATCAGTTTCACCTTCGCCGCAAAACACTCCCCTGGCGCGAAGTGTCTTCGCGAGAGGTGCAACCCCCGCGTTCGACGTCCGGAAAATACGGGTTCCCATAAGTGTGTGCGTCTCAAACAGGAAAACAATACGTTTGTTCTGTGGGGGGATGGGTAATTCTCAAAGAGGAAAGCCACTGTTTGTCTGCGGGAGTTCAACATGTTCCTTGCCATTTCCCTTTCAAGCCGCCTTTTCCTCCCTCAGCCGCAGGCCTGCGTCTGAACATCGCTGCAGCGCTGAGCTCGGCCTGTACAGGGAATTCGGGCGGGCGACATGGCAAAATAAAGCCTTCTAGAAGCCCACGCGGCGTTTCTTGCTGGTGCTCAACAAAACAATATGGGTATGACACCCATAAACTATCCCTCGTGATTTCCTTTGAGGGGAATTATGGGTTCATTCCCAGTTTTGCATATTCATATGTCATCTGAGGGGACCCTGAGATGGTCGGTCTTGTCAGACATGCATGTGTTCGTCGTCCAGGAGTCCATGTTAAAAGCAATTGTTTCACTGATACCACTATTGAGCATAATTTCATGCCAAGTTTCACACACACACACACCAAAAAAAACAGCTCAAGGTTCGATATGTCAGAAAGAGGCAACCCATCAATAAACGACAACTTGGGTGAATCTTGAAATTGGTTGACCCCAAACAATTGGTTTGCCCTTGAGTTGTTGCTTTGAAACCACCACACAAATGGTACCCTCAAAAGCACACACACACAAATTCGGAGCCAAGCGCAAGAGCCTTGGACTGCTCGAGGTCATTCTCCGGTGGTTTGATCAGCAACCAGTAAGGTGCAGACTCCTCCGGTGCAATGCACAAGCATGGAAAGCATATGCCCGGCCAAGTTCACACCAAGTCTCCTTCTTTTCATCATCACCGAACTGCATAGCAGACGATGTGTAGATAAGAGCGAAACCTGTGTGCTGGCAAAGAAATATGTTCGTGCTGATCGTGCTCATGTTCACCATGTGTGGTCTCCATGTGATATTTGCGAGCCTTCAAAACGCTGCGCAACATGTTTACACAAACTGTGTCAATCGTTGGATTTGCCCGTTTATATTGAAACGCATGCTCGCAATCCATATCAATCCATCACAATACACGGCAATTGTTTAAGTTACAATGGTGCTTGTGCTTTGAGGTTTTCAAGGAACAACCAAACAAACAGTGTTTCTGGGGTTGTCCCTTATTGTTTGAGCAAGTAGCCCCAAATTGCTTGGCTGTCAAGGGGACTTCCCAAATCACCTGAGGTCCTTCAAGCAATCCACGAGGGGTGCATCGATCTGTATGGTTGACTTGTGTTGAGGTGAAAAACGAACCCACTGGCGACCAAATGTTGAATCATCTTGTGCGCGTCAAAGCGCAGCGCGGCGAGACATACACGATAAACGTTTGATCACGGTACATTGGAGCAAGGAATACATGAAACTTGGTTCCAGGTTCTTGCATTTGGCCAAAAACATATTCCAGCATATGAATTCACAATTGATGCAACAGAACGAGCACGCTTTTCATAGCCAACTTCGGGGCTGCCGGCAAAACACCTGTCAGGATCCGCAGCTTGCGGCCGGAGCGAGGCCCAAAAGCAACAACCAGGCAGAAAACAGCCTCAGAACCCGACACCAAGAACATGTGGCAAGGGGCAACTGACTTGCGCAAACGGATTTCAAAGGCAAGGCAAGCCAAATGAAGCGGCCTCAGGGCAAGGAGCGGCTGTAACGAGGCCAAGGGCGGCGCCCGCCCCCGCCTCTCACGGCACCTTGCGGCTGGAGCAGCCGGCCCAACCAAAAAAGCCGCTGCGCAGCAAGCGGCTGAGGCGCGGGAAGCACCTCCAAACTCCCGAAGGCATAGACCCACAGTAAAATCAAAGCAGGAAGAACCGAAAGTGGGGTGCGCGAATCAACTCACTGCGTGAGTTAAGAACACAATAGCCACAGCGGCTTGTTGGAATGAAAGGAAGCCAACACGGACACCTCCCGAGAGCTCCAGCATCACACCCCGCGATTCTGCTCCACACGCTGGTCCAAAAGCCTTTGAGTAGGTTCTTGTGGAGAATGAAATGGATAAGGTTGACAGTTAACGGCTAACGCCACTTCGTGCTTGGTGTGGCTGGCTGGCTGGCCGGCTAGCCATTGCATCTGTGAACTGACGTCTGTCAGAGCAGCATCAAACAAGGGCCGACATTGACAAGGTCAACTGCCAGCCAGCATCCTTCCAATGCCCTTAAATTGAGGTGAGTGCAATCAGCTAGCAAGCTGATTGCAGTCCAAGCAGTGTTCACGAGTTTGTTGCAAAGTCAGGGTACCAAAGTCTGCTCTTTTGGTGGGTACATCACAGAGACGAAAGCTTCTAGTGGCAGCGCAAAAGGGTACTCCGAAATGTCCGTCTCCAGCTCCGCCGGCTTTCATATCAATCCATCAAAACAATCCAAATAATCATGAGTGTCACGTGAATACGTATGTTACCATAATGTATATGTATATATGTATATATATATATATGATGCCTACTAAACTATTATAAGTTTGTCCACGTACTTAAATCATACACATGATTCAATATGCAATGTAAACAAAACAAAAACAACTTAGTTGTTCAACGTAATTAATATATCGCTGTATCTAATGTATGAGGATTATTAGTTTCAGTGTTGTCATGATCATTATTATTACAATTCCTATTATTACAATTACGTTTATGAAGATTATCATTGTGTACATGACATAGCTTCAATAATCACATGTTCTCAACCATATTGTATAGCGTGTTAAACAACAATTATTATAATCAAAGCCAACCAGTTAGATTGATAACTATATGCTCGGCAACAACAAAATTATCAGTTCGTCAAAACACGATCCGTGGTATCAAGAGTAGTAATCATGACCGATTAGCATATATTATATCATTATTTATTGTATTCAGAGTCCACATATATATATATATATATATCATATTGTATTCAGTATCCTTCATCATTGTATTCATCATATCATCAATTCTTACATGGTAATTTTCCCGCACTGTTGAAACAAACGAATTGAGCTTCTGTCACAGGGCCACCTGGAGCCGGATGTCCAGTACTGGCCTCATGGACAAAGCGACAGAAAGACTCTGGTCGGTTCGTCTCCGAAGAGGAAAGCGGGGCCCGTGTGTCTTTGGATTTGTTTGACAACCCCCAAAAAAGGGTAGGGTACTCTTAACCACTTACGGGCCAGGAACCAAATGGGAAGGAAAGTGCGCTGAGTGATGTTCGGAACTCACATGGCTTGGCTGTCTGCAATGACATTGCAACTTACATACTCAGGCCGCAACACGGACGAGGTCCTGCGCTTGCCCTTCTTGCCCTTGCCCTTTCCCTTGCTGCTCGCCTCCGGAAGGGGCAGGCAGTCGGCCGCCATGAATGCAGCTCTACAATGTTACCACAAACATGTCCCCATGCTCTCACATGTAGTGTCTGAGTGGCACTGCACATCACACCGTTTCCTCGCTTCGAATTTTGATTTTCTATGGCAGCCCGTCTGAGTGATCGAATGGTTGATTTGAGGCACTCCCACATCAGCGTTGCTGGGTCTTCAGGCACATCCCTTTGGTGATTTGCGGCACGGTTTCAGCTGACAGGGTTGCAAGCTCTGCCGTGCAGTTGATCGAGCAATTGGTTGAGCCGAATTTGGGTGCTCCATTGAAGTGAACATACTGGTATGTTGTGGATGTCCGGTAGATTTCCTTTGTTGTCCCGTGCAAGCGGGAAAACAACAACACTTGGGTAGGGAAATTCAACTAAAATTATTGGCCCAACAGCTGATGTCCAAACCCAGCAAAATGCGGATTTTCGGGAACCCTACAAAAAGTGCCCTCCCAAAAAACAAAATGGAACCTAAAAGAGGGTCCCTGTAAGAGGAATATGCTCAAATCAAATTTCCCCAAAAACTGTCCCCTATCTGCGGCTGGCATTCCCTTTTAGCCACCCATTCTAACCACTTAAACATGAAGTGGCCTGGGCTAAAATGGCTAGCATTCGAAAAATGAGTGGTCTGTAGAAAACCCCGCGCCTGGAACCCTCCGGAACCCTCCCTGAAAGCCGCCCCAAACCTCCCCTTATCACCTGGGCAAAGACCAAATCCATAGCCCATATGACAGCAGCTGGGGAGAACCATGGCCCATATGACAGCAGCCAGGCTTTCCTTCTTACAGAAAGTGGGCCTAAAACCAACTTTTCCCACATGCTCAAAGCCCCCATCAGTACCCTCCAACCTATCCACAAAATGGAACAGTACAGGGTCCCCCCCAAGTTTTAGGACCTTGTCCCAAAAAACAACCCCAATTTAGTGATCCTTGAGACGTAACATACCCTCCCACCCCCCCCCCCAAAAAAAAATGGTAAAAGTAGGGGGCCTGGGGGGTGGTCTGTTGAGGGTTGCCTGTTCTGGTTTTTATGTTCATCTCAAATCTGTGTTCCCCCTTATTCGTTTTTAAAAGAGGGTTTTTAGGGAGCTTATTTATCGTTTTCGTTAAGGTAATCATTTTGGTAATTGCCCCCCTTGTTCATTGTTGGGCTGGGGGCCGACATTTTTTTCATTTGAAAGAGTTAGCCCTTTTAGTAGTTATCAAGTTCTGGGGTGTTGGTGGTGCATTTGTTTTGTTAGTGTTTTTCTCACTAATTTTCATTTATAGGTTAAAAGTTCAGTATAATTATAACATATAAGATTTTACATGTTATTATTATATTATGATTATAATTTCAGTTCAGGATAATAATCTAATTGGTTTGTCTTACTTCTTTCATACATCATTTTAAAAATAATATTAACATCTCTCACTGTATTCTGAACATTAAACTTTTTACTTTCAATAAATAATTTGATATTTTCTTTAACATCTTCTCCTTTCTCTTGACTATAACCCAACATCCATAATATATCGTAAATCATGTCATATTTTTCTTACTGATTTTAAGAAACTGTTTAACATAATCGTAAGGTGGTATTTTATTTACAGTTAGAAATATTAAAATATCATCTTCTACATTTCTATTATGTCTTCCTTTTATTCTCAACAGACATTTGATTAAAAATTGATTATCTCTCCATTCCTGACAATTTTCACATTCGTCTTTTTCATCCATTGAATAATTAATAATATTATTCACTATTTCATTAGGTAAACTCAATTTAAACAATTCCATATTTTCTTTTTTGAAGTGACAACAATCATAGCATTTTTTATTGATATAATTATTGATTCCATCACCGTTCATTTTTCTCTTAATATATAAGGTAATATTTCTTTAAGTAGTTTTGGCTAGGGGTTGCTGGTCGGCTGGTCTGGGTTTCAGGTTTAATTTAAATGTCTTAACCTTCTTGTTAGATTATAAAACAATGTTTAATCATATTATAATTAAATATTATGATTAAGCCATGAAAACATTGTTTCTGTTATGTATAAATTTCAAATGTAATATGTTCTATAGGCGCTTTACAGACCTGTCATTCACATATGTTAGACCCTTCATATACATATGGTTGACCCATCATATACATATGTTCGACCTGTCATATACATATGTTAGACCCATCATATACATATGTTAGACCCCACATTATAAAGGAAATCCCATTCATTTTTTGATGATGACCCCCACATCATAGGATGATGACCCCCACATCATAGGATGATGTGCCCCCATTTTCGGGATGATGACCCCCACATCATAGTATGATGTTCCCCCATTTTCGGGATGATGACCCCCACACCATAGGATGATGTACCCTCTCTTAATCCCCGCGTGTGCCATTCTCTTCGCCTACGTCGCTGTCGTCTTCTAGGTTCTGGAACGGGTGGCCGTTTTTGGACTTCTACCCTAAAACAAACTAACAAATATATCACTAATCAATTCAGAAGGGATTTTATATAGGTCATCTTGTTTATGCTAACCCCAGTTGTTTTAGCTCTGCTGTATTCGGTGCACGGAGGAGATGCCCAAATAAAATTGAAATGGTTTCTGTCAAACTGTTTGTAGTCCCATTCAAGTATATCACAATTAATATCAGCATTTTTCAAATCCAATGATATTACATTATAACCGAGCGACTTCGCCACATTACCAACTGAAGAAGTGCCACTAAATAGTTCTAATAAGTGCATTTAATATTAGAACTATTTAGATATTAATATTTTCATTATTTTCATTGTAATTTGTTTTGTTTGATTGACATTTGATTGATGCTTGATGTCTCTTCATCCAGTCATTCCTAATAAGTTGATGGCATACAGTACATTCTATCTTTTTCCCTCTTTCTTCCTTTTTCCTTTCATATTTTGCTTTATCATACTCATTTAGTTTATCACGGTTCAGTGCTCTATATTCTTTGTTATACTCTTTCCTATGTTCTTTAACTTCTGGTTGTTGTCGGTATTCTATTGCTGGTCTTCCCGTGACTTGCTTATTCACACAGCCAGTTCTGCTTATATGGTGTCCTTCTTGTCTTTGTAATTCTTCTTTACTACTGCACGGGTAATTTTCAATAAGTTCAATTTTACAATTGCCCAAACCGTATTCATCAAACAGTTCAAATGACGCCATCCTTCCATACTTTTGATTTTGATGTATTTTGTAATTACTTCTATGTCTTGTCATTCTCTGACTTAAACTCTCGCAGGTACTTCCAATATAACACTTGTTATAACCTACGTCAGTTATTTTATAAATTTTACCGTGTTTATATCTATTAGTATCCATTAATAACCTTAGTTATCTTTTCTTTAACGTAGATTGTAATGACCGTAGGGTAAAGAAGTAAAGGCATCTAAGTAATGTCTTTTATTTTCAAAATTACTCAAGCTCTGCTTAACTTGAGACATTGAGAATAACTGATGGTTTCGACTTCGAATAAAATTATATGTTATTTCATGCTTTTTGTTTTGAAATAATGCTTCATGATAGTTTTGATACAACAGTTCTTTTTTCACCTTGTGCTTCACGACACCTTTTGATTTCTTATGTTCATCATCCTCACCGTGTATTGTAAAAGCATATGACTTTGGCTTGAGAGCTATGAATTTGGTAATTATCTTTGAAGAGCATTCATCCTTAAACATTCCTCAGACCTTCTTATTTGTTTTGTCATGACACGGATGCTCAACAGGATAGTCGCTAAAATCCATGTGTTGCTTTATATCATTGAAATCCTTATAGACATCATCAGTCATTGTTTGAATTACATAACTGTCAGTATCTGTATATACTAATTTGATATTTTCATTGTATTTTTTCTTAAGGACATCATAATAAAATTGATACATATGTAATTTACTTAAATCTAAAATCGTCATTCCTAAAAAGATTGGTTTATCCAGTTTCAGTTTTGCTTTGGTTTTCTCAACTCCTACAAGATTTTCATTTATTGTAAATCTATTTTTGAAGGTTGGATTATTCACACATTTTCATATCTAACTTCAAAATCTACTAATTCAATATCCATATGATTACGCTTGTCTTCCATAGTTTTACCGTATACACTATTATTCATCAGCTTATAGAGTTCTTTCTCAAAATCGCTTTTGGCTTCTTTCCTTTTACCAGTGTTGAAGTCAATCCATGGTTTCAACCATGCCCTCTGTTGAAATTTTATTATCCTATGGACTTTACCCATTTTCATTCCCATTTTCAAATAATACTGTAAAGTCTTCATATGAACCACATATTTTTCTTTATCCTTTAGATTTAATATTAACTTACTTGTTTTCTCGTCCTTGGGGCTTTTACCATCATAATATATTTTGAAGACTTGCTTTTGATAGTCGGAAAGCATATTCACATTTACATTCATTATTTCAGGCGCTAGTGGATAGTCGGAGTGGAAGTCGTGCAATGTTTCGGGATATTCCAAATCAACTTCCATAATATAACCAAACTCATCGTTTTCATTCCAATTTTCAACACTGGGCGTTTTCTTTGCCCACTTGATATTTTTCAATGGTAACTTCTGGGACATTGCTAAACCATACAAATTATTAGCATCTAAGTAATTTATGTAACTACTCGGTTTTGAATTGTCATATTTCCCAACCATATACTTATTATTTGCCACTGCTAATTTATGACTGACTTGACACATTCCACCTCTCATACCCTTCTCAATCATTTCATACATGTCCTTATCACTGATTTGTTCTATTTCCACACCAGTTTTTAAAAGCATTGCATCAAACGCGAAATTTGGCAACGTATAATAATGAGCGGGGTCTAAACCGTAGTATTCCATACACAAGTCTCTAAAGTTTTCAAATACATCGGTCAGTAGTAAAACATCAGTTCTTAAATACAAGTCGTGATACTGCCCGAGTGTTCTAATCCCGAAGTGCTTCCATA